ACCCGAGGTACCACTGTATTGTGATGCCAGCAGATAGACCTGTGTCCTTTGTCTAGCCCTGTCCTTAACAAGATCACCCTTTGCATTAGAGCAGATGCCTGACAGGAAGTCCCTCGCCTATAACTGGGCATTCCTCAAATCCCCAACCTCTTTGGTTTCATGAGTATAAGGCTTGCTAGGCTTCTCCATGCTTCTCTTTTCCCCAAGGAGCTGAACTTCTCTTCAGCTTTAGCTAGATCCTTTCCCCCATCTTTCCCATTTCCTTCTCTTAGTCATGTTTGCTGCTTTCTTTGGGTTTATTCAGGATCCTTGTGAGACGCATAAGCCAGAAATTATTTTGTTTTTGGAGCATTGTTAGAAGGATTTATAGAAAGCAGGGTGAATTCCTCCAGTGGATAAAAGAAAATAGCTATGTCCTTGTCCAGAAACACTGGGGGACAGATCTGGCTTTATTGGCCTTTATTGGCCACCCCATCCACCTTTATTGGCCACCCCATCCACAACTGAACCAAAAGTTTCAGAAAACAGAGGCAGCTGGCTGACTCTTTGAAAGACTCAAATCACCAGATAAAGTTTTATCAAGACTCAAGTCATGACTGTGCACCTGCATGCTGAAACCCAGGAAATAACTTATCTCTGCACCAGCTTCCTTCAGGTAAGTTATTATTACCATCTCTTTCTGACCTCTATCTCTCATTTCCCCAGCCTCACTGTTTTTCAACCATTGTGTTATCCCAATTCCAGTTATTTGCACTGGAGCATATTCCTCTTATGCATTTAAGCCTCCACTGCAGCCCTTTCTGTTCCCCATTGCCCTCCCAGCCCCTTAAAGGCAAATCTCTCCTCTCCATCTATTTGTATCTCTACATCAGTAACTAAGCTTAAGGTCCAGGCAATGTGGATTTTGGGTAAAAACTAATCATTTTGCTATTTTGCATTTTTGTCTTGGCACTTTAAGCCACAAAGCCATTTTACTTATGGCCCAAAATTTGATGTAAATACAGTATTCAAGTAGAATAATGTGCGTGGCTCTTGCTATTTTCCCCATATCAACAAGACTTGTGTTGGCAATATTAAATTAGGAGCAGCATAACACAAGAGCCTCTGTGGCATGAACTGTGCCCAGATTAAAGACTCCCAAAATGGTACTGTACTTCCATAGACATACATGTGGACATGTAGATAGAAAATGAGCAGATCCATTAGCACTACACTGAAGGGAATCTAGCAGTTAACTACAGTCATACCTCGGGTTATGAACGCTGCGGGTTACTCATTTTCGGGTTGCGGACAGCACCGAACCCGGAAGTACTGGAATGGGTTACTTCCGGGTTTTGGCGCTCACACATGCGCAGAAGTGCAAAATGATGTCACACGCATGCACAGAAGTGCTGAATTGCGCCACACGCATGCGCAGATGCGACGCTTCAGGCTGCAAATGCTGCGGGTTGCAAACGTGCCTCCCGCATGGATCACATTCACAACCTGAGGTATGACTGTGCAGGAACCTCTAAGAACCCCCTGTCTATCTCTTGCTTGCTTCGATTAAAATATGCATGCTTTTCCCCCTATCCTTGGGAGGAGAGAGTTTCAAAGTCTGGGAATCCGCAAAGGCAGAAAGAACTGCCTTATATACAACATATGGCTGCAACCTAAAATGGGACCCCCCATGTTCATTTCTTGCCTCTCCCCTGGTAATATACAGGATGAGTAATCCCGTGTGATGACATCATAATACCAGGCATTCCCTTGCACCATGTCATTGGCTGCTGTTTGTGGAGCCTATGGGATTATATCAAAAAATGTGGCAAGTGAGCTTACATATTGAAATTTATCTAGATTTCCAAGCTTTTATATGATGTAATCCATATGGAAATGCCCACCCAGGATTGGCAGTGCTGGAGTGTTACAGAAAATCTCTCAAATAAATATAGAAGAAAAGGACAACTCAGTGCAGATATGCCATTATTTTTAGCAGCAGCCTTATGTCAAGCATAACATTCCTCTCTGAGAATGTCTGTGCACATGGTTTCATTATGCAGACTTGGAAGTAGGAGGGACGCTGCGTGACAGCCATAATAAGCTACTTGCAGAAATTAAGATTTGGTGCAGAGAAAGAGGCAAATTCGAAGGTGGGTGTGTTGTTAAATATCTTGCACATTGTGTATTAGGGCTGGAGCTTCAGATTCTATGCTACATTCTGAACTATACAAATATTTATTTGTTGATAAATAAAAGAAGATTTTAGGAGGCAAAACAGGCCACCTTCTCACCTCCTGAATGTCAGAACTTTGAACACATGACACCGCTGTCTTTTCACAATTGTTTTCAAGATTCAGGATTTGTTTGCTGGGGCACATCCAGTCCTTCACTGTCTACAAACACCTGTATAGAATCTGGGCTGCCTCTCCCGATTCAGATAGAACACATACACGAGCTGTGTGTCTTTCGCATATTGGTGACACTTCACTCCATTATTCCTGGTGACGGCTTCCAGTGGCTTTATATCCACAGCGCTAAAATGGACTGCCTCTCTTGGAGATCAGCAGTATCAATTGTCTGGTATGGGGTTCACCAGCATCACTCTGAGTATAATTTGCTCAGAGTATAGCATTGCCCAGAACACACGCAGCACAATAGAGATCCGAGTGCTGCTTCCAACCAGGCTGGCTCTCTGTGCATGAAGTAACATGCCTAGAGGCTGGAACTGTTAAAGCTTTGCATACAGTGGATACTAACCATGCTCTCCTCATCCTGCACACTGTACACTCATCCATACACTGAACAGCTCGGGAGCACATTATCTTACTCCACAGTAGCACTAAATTTTGTTTTTCATTAACGTTACACATTTGATGATGAAAACTGCTTATGTTTAAATGTGTGTGTGTAAGTGGGGAACGACAACATAAACTTGGCGTGCAAAAACTACCAAGCACTGCTCACTTCTCCCTAATAACCCCCCCAAAAAAAACAATTCTGTGCTTCTTTTGCTGAAGCCTGAAACTACAAGACTAGTAGGATGAGATGAGGCTTCTTGCTTACAGTTTTAGATCATAAATTGAGGACTGGCACATTCCCAATTAAATATGAAAATCTGAGGTACTTCTTTGCTTTCACTGCCACTGATCCTTTATCCACTTTAACATATATGTTAAATTAATATTTTTTTGCAACCCAGTAAATAATCAGGGGGACAGGATTAAGTGGTTAAACTTAACATATATACGGTACTTAAAATATTATTGGAAGTGAGAGCTAGACCATAAAGAAGGCTGATCGCCGAAGAATTGATGCTTTTGAATTATGGTGTTGGAAGAGACTCTTGAGAGTCCCGTGGATTGCAAGAAGATCAAACATATCCATTCTTAAGGAAATCAGCCCTGAGTGCTCACTGGAAGGACAGATCGTGAAGCTGAGGCTCCAATACTTTGGCCACCTCATGAGAAGAGAAGACTCCCTGGAAAAGACCCTGATATTGGGAAAGATGGAGGGCACAAGGAGAAGGGGACGACAGAGGACGAGATGGTTGGACAGTGTTCTCGAAGCTACCAGCATGAGTTTGCCCAAACTGCGGGAGGCAGTGGAAGACAGGAGTGCCTGGCGTGCTCTGGTCCATGGGGTCACGAAGAGTCGGACACAACTAAACAACAACAAAATATTATTACATTTTACCGAATGTATGTTGGGGATTCACAAATAGTCCCCGCTACACACCAGCTGGGGTAAAGTCCTCTGGCACATTATAGAAAGCTGTGCCCACCTGCAATTGGCCCCTTAGCATCCAGATTTCCTTAGCAGAAGCAGCACGGGCAGCCTAACCTAGAGAGAGTGAAATGACAGGGAGGTGTGGCTCTGAAGCAGACACCCCCCCCTGCAGTTTAAATAACCTGATTAAAATAAACGGTGACAGAAGTGAAATATTAGATTGATATAAGTACAACAGATATAAAGTCTGAGGTTGGTTTGTTTTTTTAAAAAGCTGAATTTTTGCCTCTTGAGCTACAGTGACCTCTACTGGATTAAAAGTTTGAATCACATGGAATGATTTTATTGTCACTGGGCATAGTTCTAAATCCAACTGTTCTATGATAATGTTCAATGAAACCACCATTAAAAGCATTGGAAGCTGCAGTCCTATACCTACTTACCTGGGAGTAAGCACCACTGAACTCAACTTCTGAATAGGCACACTGTAAATCCCATTGTTTTGAACAGAAGAGTTAATTTTACACCCATATTTCCTTAGTTTGATGATTTCATGAAGTGCTCACAAAAAATGGATATGAAAGATAAATGAATAAGAATGCACCAGTTTGCTGTCGCTGATTAAAACTGCCTTTCAGTGAGTGTTTCAGGCCTTTAATATGACAATGCATCTACGTGCTGTAGAATAGCCAGCTTTTTCTGATACAATTAAATGTTTCATTATAGATTGCTAAAAATATGAGGATAATTGCTCCCCTGCAATTCAGGTAACAATGGGGTGATTATACATTGTTACAAAGCATTGAAAAATGCAACAGTAAGTTTAGGAAAAAAGGAATTTTTGGGTAATTCCTGTTTTTGCTTTGAATGGCTTGAGGTTATATTCTGGCTAAATATCACCTACAAAGAGAAACCATGCCAGTTCGTGCCACCTACCTATGGTAGATAATCTTTAAATTACTATTTGAAGCATGATCAGTAGAAGACTTTGTGGCGAAAATAAATTAAGGCTAGGACACATGCTAACTCCATGACTGTTTGAATGCAGATGTGAGTTCAATAGGACCCCACATTATTTTCTGGCACGGCTTGACTATTTTAGGCTAGTTTTATCAAGGCAAGTCTATCTCCCCACCATGATCTCTTTGCTCATGGTATGCGACCCGATATTCAGCCCTACGCATAAGACATAGGCAACGTGAGTTTGAAAACATGATTTAGAAAGAAGTGATGGATATGAGACAAAGCTGGAAAAGCATTTTTGAATGCAAGATATTTGCAGCTGAATATACCTAGTCTGTCCGAGAAAATGCTAGAGCTGGAATTAAATCGTAATCTGTGAGCATTGTGGATGGGTGAACAGTTCACATCTTGAACCAGGCAAACAAATATTTGATTGAAGACTCAGCCCTAAAAAGATGAAAGAGATGCTTATTAGGATATGTAAAGTAGTTCACTCAAAGCAACACCATTGAAATATATCCAGATCACCTGATAGGATCAAATGCTTTATGACATGCTTGCATAGCAATAAATCTTAACATTCTAATATATGAGAGCTGTGAGAATATGAAAATGCTCCAGATATGAATATGAAAATGTTCAGATGCTTATAAAAGTAGTGCTTAAAAACAGCATTCCCTAAATTCAAAAATTCTGCAAGAGCTCTTTGCCACTGCCTCAGAACAGACATACCAGTGCTGATTTCAGCTACTGCCCCAACGACATTTGATTCCGTCTCGCTCTGGCAGTATGGGTGAGTTCCCACATGTCATTACTCAAAGGCTGCAACGTCCAGTGATTACTTCTAACCATTACATTCATGATTCAAATACCATGGGCACAAATTTCATTTTACCCAACTCTGTTGGGCAAAATGGATGACACTTAAAAAAACAACAGCAGCAAAGAAAATTACTAAATTCACTAAAATGCATGTTATAAAATCATATTCAGTTGATGAGTCAAGGGAAACAAGCTTGCATGCATGTAACAAATGGCAGAATGCGTGTTGTGGGAATCAGCTTGAGTTTTTGTTGCTGGGTGCAACAAATATGAGGATGGGGGCCACACAATACTTGTGCCAAGCGATCTGCTAAGCTCAAGATGCTCTTCTGTCAAATTATTTCAATCAACGGAATCAGGCATTCAGATTCTGTGTCTCCTCATATTCCGGACATGGTGTGGAAACACTGCACACTTAAGGCATGATGCTTCCAAAGGAAAGATGAATGTTTAGATTCTAAGCAATGGGGAAAACGATACTTCTGCAGTGATTAGTGTGAATGGTCAAGGGATACTGGGAAGTGGAGTGGGGAGAACTCGACATACAGTGGTACCTCGGGTTACATACGCTTCAGGTTACATATGCTTCACACTCCGCTAACCCAGAAATAGTGCTTCAGGTTAAGAACTTTGCTTCAGGATAAGAACAGAAATTGTGCTCTGGTGGCGCGGCAGCAGGAGGAGGCCCCATTAGCTAAAGTGGTGCTTCAGGTTAAGAACAGTTTCAGGTTAAGAACGGACCTCCAGAACGAATTAAGTACTTAACCCGAGGTACCACTGTATAGTATGCCCAAGGAGCAGCATCTGAATGTTTAGAAATATTCCATATAGCTCAACAGGAAGGATAAAATAGGAAGGTGGGGAAAGTAAAATATACCCCAGAAGAAAGGTGGGATAATATAGATATATAATCAACAGGGGTGAAACTAGGCTTTATTTCACCCAGGTCCAAGAGCCAGTTTGACATTTGTGCACACACACAAACAGAGGCTGGGAGCCTCAATGGCGCCCCCTCTGGAAGCGTCACATGGGGCATAAAACACAGCTAGCCCCCCACCCTCGTAGCTACGGCTCTGTAATATAAAACAAGCCATCTGTGGGACTGCTGAACAACTAGGGACAGCTGTGTATGCAGCTGAGATGCGTGTGTGTGTGTGTGTGTGTGTGTGAAGGGCTGAAAGAGAGGGAGGGTGCAGAGAAGACAAGACATCGTCAGGATGCATGCAACACGCGTGCGGTGCAACCCTATAAACACGTTTAGTCAGAAGTAGGCGTCCTCTTAACCCAGCGGGGCTTTCTCTCTCGTATTCCGTGCTTGGGACTGCCCTGTTATAAGGAGAGCGAAATGTGCCTCGGGGACACAAGAAGTGGAGGGTGTCGTTACCTGCCGCTCCTCCTGAAGCCTTCCTGCGAATAGTCCCTTGCTTCCTTCTCTGGAAGGCTGGCACGAGGGCGACCCGGGGACACCAGCCTCCTTCTTTTATCCCGTCTCCCCGTCGGAAGCGGCGCCTTGCCAAAACGCGCGCCAAAAAACAACAACGCAGCAACCCCACAGGCAGCGTCTCTTCCGCCCGCCGCGGCGCCTTCCCGCCACTTCGGAGCAGGGCCAGGCGACCGGGCAGACGCGCAGCGTCCCTCGCGCGGCGGCTGGGAGACCGAGGTGGCGGCTGCGCCCCGGCGCGCGCGCCTCTGCTTTTCAGGAGAGCGAACTCCGCGCAGCCTCCGCCGGCCTGTGGGGGCGCGGAGGAGGAGCGCGCGCATTTGCTCGCTCCCTCGCCGCCAGTTCCATAAGCCGGAGGGGGGGGGAGGGGGGGACGAAGGGTCCTATTCTTTGGTCGCAGAGCTGTAAAACCCAAGTTTCAATAAACTTAACCTGTGTTGATAACGAGGGTGGGATTTTTAACCAGGAGGGGTGTGTTTGTGGGTGTGTGCAATGGATATTACAATTCACGGTGATAAGTCAACTAAGTCCCAATGGGCACAGACACATTAAAATTAATCGATGCAAGTTTGTTTTAATATTAAAAAGGAGATTTATATACTGCAGCGCGATCAGAGTGGTTCACAGCAATTGTACAGTTAAAACACACACACACATGAAAGCGTTTAAATCAGAACTACGGTAATCAACTAACTATTAGGGAACGAAATAAACAACTAAAGCTAGCTAACTGTTATGGAAAGATGGACTGCATCAGCCTGACGAAATAGAAACCTTTTCAGCAGGTGTTTTAAAACTTGAAACTTCATCCATTGATTTCAGTTGGTCCACCTGAGGATGATTAACAATGGACACACAATAGGTATGTTAACGTGCTAAGAGGAAGGCAAGCTTGGCAAATCCACACTGTGATCAACTCCCACCAGGGAACCAATGTCCCCACTGTGGAAGGACGTGTGGATCCAGAATTGGCCTCCACAGTCACTTATGGACTCACTGTTAAAACCATGTTTATGGAAGACAATCTTACTTGGCTATGAGTGATCGCCAAAGAAGAAGAAGAAAGTTTAATATATACATATATGTAATAAGCAATGCTTCACGTTTGTAAAATGCATACACCCATGACATATATTATAACAAATATATGATAAGAAACACTTTGCATATGTGAAATACATACAAAACCTGCAGGGCTACAAGATTGATTCACTCTGTTGTTGCCATACCAGGATTTCCAGAAGAATGCAACTGAAAATTGCACTCAAAGTGTTCATGATATTTTATAAAGCTCCAATAGACCTTTGTGGGAGACCACCATCCAAGGTAAAGAGTTAACAAAATATTTGGATAACTCGCTCTTTGTTTATTGTCTACTGTTGATATAAACTGTATAACCCCTAAAACCAATAAGATTTGGGTTCCAAGTTGTCTGAGTACCAAGGCGTTTGAGAACCAAGGTACCACTGTATTGGGAGTTTGAACCCACTGTTTTTAAACAGAGTCTCTGACCTGATATGTAGCTTTGCATGATTTAGATATGGACAAAAGTAAGTATTGTTGTTGTTGTTTAGTCGTTTAGTCGTGTCCGACTCTTCGTGACCCCATGGACCAGAGCACGCCAGGCACTCCTGTCTTCCACCGCCTCCCGCAGTTTGGTCAGGCTCATGGTTCCTTAGTGTAAGAAATGAAGTGGCTCTGTGCTCCCTCTCTCACCTGGCTGGTAGTGAGGACAATAGGCACAGAGTGTGTGTTTGGGCTGGGCTAGAAGCAGGCAGCAACCTGAGCGTGAGTGGCATGCTTGAATTCTGCTTGGGTCTATGGGAGAAGCAATACCTTCTGGGGTGTTAATGCTGCGAGCCCCTCCATCTTAGGCTCAGGTTCTATACATGTATGTAAATAAATCATATATCCTAAAGACACCGCAGTCACTGCTGTCCCTCATTCCCAGGAAACTGAACCCTGGTTAGCCCCCTGGAATCTTGCGCTGCTCAGAGATTGGGGGGGCATGCAACAATATGGTCCCAGACTTAAGCTTCAGTTCAGCTTGTTGCATGTACTTTCAGACCATGCCCAGGGGCTAGTCATCAATACACTTTTAAGATATAAGTCCTGGAGAAAGATCAATGTGTAAATGAGTAGTCAATGCTTTCTGCCCTGATCTCCTAACTGTATTTCAAACCTCCCTGAGTTTCTAGTGATTGTCTGTTTTTTTCTTCTAGATGCTATTAGATTTTGTCTTTTAAAAAATCAAATTACTTTCTAAGTTGTGGCCATTGATTTGTAAATCCTCACATTTTTTTTTTCTTGAAAAAAGAAAAAGTTCATTATTTCACCTTCACTGGAGATTTTTATACAGTACTGTTTTGCACAGATTTCCAAATGCTAATGGATATTTTCACTGCTGGTTCCTTCAGCACCCTGAGGTGTAAGTCAGCAACTTTTGCTGTCTAAAAATCATTACAGTTGGTCAAATAGTTTCACTCTGCTTTTTTCTGTCTAACCCAACTCCTTTCTCGCCAGTTGTCCTGACTAGTATTTTCATGAAGCTTAGATGCAAATCCTTTCTCTAGTACCTGAATCTCAGATCACTGTATATGCTATTCAGCTGAAGAACTGTGAGCTAAATTCTGTTATCTGCAAAATAAATTAGTATTTCACAGGGGAAACCAGCAGAAAGGAACAGGAATACAAAAAAATGCAGATTTTTTCTTTTTTTGCCTTGATATAAATGATCCATGATTGGGCACAATAGCTTCAATTTTGATTTCAGGCAATATTAAAGTTTCTCTTGAGTGCTCCCATGCAGGGCTTCTGCTTCACTCGATTATGATTCATGGACGCTAATGGATTTGCCTATCATCTCTCCTCAAATATCTATGAACACAGAATTCAGTATTAGCCAAATAGTTGCATTCCTCTGTTTTGCAGACTGTGTTTCTCAATATAGAGATCCTTCAGACATCCTTTTTTTTATTGTGCATGCATGATAATTTGTGCTTGTGATGCTATTGGGGTCATCATAAGCAAACCCCACTTTTAATACTGTTTGCACCCGCAAAGGTTTCGGGGCAGTCCTACTGCTTCATTTCCAATCAGTGCACATCCTATAATTTCCTGATGAAATCCCACGACTTTCTACATCACAAATGTTCTGGTCTTTTTTTCTTTCTTTTGTCTCGCTTTTCTTGTGCTATACCCCTCCAGACGGCAATAACTTGGGGAAGCATTGGAGAATAAAGCAGAATAAATCCACTACTAATCCACCATTACTGTGCATTCTACTAGGTCTTGACAATAATGTATAGCTGTAGCTAGCCAGGGGTCAACAAACTTTTTCAGCAGGGGGGCGGTCCACTGTCCCTCAGACATTGTGGGGGCTGGACTATATTTTTTTTGGGTGGGGAAATGAATGAATTCCTATGCCCCACAAATAACCCAGAGATGCATTTTAAATAAAAGCACACATTCTACTCATGTAAAAACACGCTGATTCCCGGACCGTCCGTGGGCCAGATTTAGAAGGCGATTAGGCCAGATCTGGCCCCCGGGCCTTAGTTTGCCTACCCACGAGCTAGATGCAGCTTCTTCCATCCTTTGTAGCATGTGGAGGGATTTAGGTTGGGACAGAGGAGCCATGTCCATTGTAGAAGCCCTGACCGTGCCCGTGGATGGGGCTGTGGGTGCAGTTCTACTTCTGGTGGGGGTTAGGCAATTGGTAGCCAGTGTGAGGCCCCAAATGTGTTTTTTTAAAATATTTTTTTTATTAGGAATTTCAACAAAACATTTTATCAAAATACATATCATCCTTAATTCCCCCTCCCCCTCCCCAAAATGTAACCCCCCTCCCTCCCCAGACTTCCCTCAGCTCCTCTCTCTGGTTTATCAACAAATGTTATTTTCTGCATGTTACAAAATTGTACGGATCCTTAATTTATCTAACTAGCTGTTATCAATACAGTTTGTGAATGTTTATTCAAAACCTGCCAAGAAGTCCAGTTCATTTTGTCCAAATGGGGCATTTTGGGGACAGGGCATATGCAGCCTTGGATCCACCAGATTAAAAACCACTTCATTTCCCTTAGAGGCATTTTACCCATGGCATTCTGGAGCACTGGTTACAAAAAGAAATGAATGCTCCTCCCCTATCATGGCCGGCGCAAGACATCAGGGCTTTGGAAGTAGTCACTCATCCATCGCTTCCCTACCCATCCTGCTTTGCAGGGTTGCCAACTTGAATAAAATACTGCGGGGCCCAGATAAGCCCTGCTCTGCATAATTGATCACATGACATGGTCACGCTCACCATTTGAATGGCAAAGCCCATCAACTTTAGGGTATATGTGTTGAAGAAGAAGAAGAAGAGGAGGAGGAGGAGGAGGAGGAGTTTGGATTTGTTATCCCGCTTTATCATTACCCGAAGGAGTCTCAAAGCGGCTAACAATCTCCTTTCCCTTCCTCCCCCACAACAAACACTGTGAGGTGAGTGAGGCTGAGAGACTTCAGAGAAGTGTGACTAGCCCAAGGTCACCCAGCAGCTGCATGTGGAGGAGCAGAGACGCGAACCCGGTTCACCAGATTACGAGACTACCGCTCTTAACCATTACACCACACTGGCTCTTGAAGATTCCTTGGCCCCTAGGAGCTGGCTCCTCTGCTGCTTTGGGTTGCTCTGTATAAACCAGGAAGTACTAGAGTAGCTCTACAGTACTCAAAATGCAAGTCTTGCATTCCACACCAGAGCACCTGGGTGGCTGTGTTAAGATCAGCTTGATGCGCAGATGGGTTTGCCCTCTGCAAAGTGCTTCTTTGAACCATATCTGCATTAGACACCTGCGTTACATATGGATTTGGCTAAACTGGTGCCTTGATCGCTGCTGCTACAGACATGAGGAGGTCGCTCGGAAGATTCAACAAGTCCTAGGCTAAAAATAGCCTATAAAATTCTAGTATTTAAATAATTTAGTTCAATCAAAGTTTATAGGTATTTCAGAAGCTCGATTTCCTCTTACTCTGAGAATAGCTAAGCGAGTGAGGAATGGAAGGATTTGCATACTCTTGTTAGCACCTGTCAGACAGCAACCTGCTAAGCTATTAGCCCCAAACTGGCAAATCTAACAAAATCATAGCAATATTCTGACTTGTCATGTCATTACTATTGTCTTCAAAGGAATCAAGGAGGGCATGTTTTTCGAAAGTTTGGGAGGCACTGTGGAATAAGCACGTCTTCTCTGTAGGGCATTCCTTGCAATATCCAATAGCTTCATAGCACACAC